AATCCCAAACGGGTGGAACATGTGTCACACGAAGAGAGGCCGAAGGGAGTAAATGGCCGATAGCTTCAGACACGTGGTGAGTTGTGGAAGGAGCTCAGTTGCACGCGGGACCCACGCGGAAATTGGATGGAAAAATGTCTAGCGCGCGCGTGAGAAGAACTCGCCCGGGGGAAAGGCTGTGCGCGCCAAATGCGCATACGCAAGGGGACAGTTGGGTCCTACACGTCTGCGGCACGCCAGACTTCGACACGTGGTGCGGAGAAAGGAGCGGCTCAGGCTCGGCTCGGCTTGGCTGACTGGCGGGCTTGGTGATGTCTTCTGATGGGCTTGTTATTGGGTCTTTTTCTTCTTTTTATAGTTTTTTGTTTTGGCCCAAATGTCTTATTTCTCTACAAAACAAATTAAATTAAATTAAATTAAAATTAAATACTTTCACAAAAAATTAATGCCACGAAAATATTTAATTAAAGCTTAATTTATTTAGCAATTATGAACAACTTAAGTGCATTTTCATGCACTTATCATATATCTTTTTATCCTATGAGAGTCTTTCTCCATTCCGGGCATTTACCTCAAAACTGTATTGTGTTGTTATTCCAAAGAATATACAAGATGCTCTAGAAGTTCCTGAATGGGGGGAGGTTTTCATGAATGGAGGGAGAAAGGGTTTTCACTCATGGAGTTGGAAGTCAATCAATCAACCCTCAAGTGAGAGAAGGCAATTTAAGGACAAGCTAATAAACAAACATTGATCAAATGGTAGGCAAATTAAATAACTGAAACAATCCATCACTCAAACTATAAACAAGCTTTCGGGATTTCATTCTAGTTAAAAGGAAGATCTCATAAACAAAGAAGGAGCCGAGAAATACAAACAAATATACTCACCCTTTTTTTTCTTTTCTTTCCTTTTTTGGTTTTTTTAAGGCAAGAGACAATATACATTTGATGAAGCTGATGTAGTAAGGTATTCTTTTGACTGACTGCTATGCAGCGCAAGATGTGAGTACAACCAAACTACGTAAACATTGATGATAAAATGATGCTCTTGCTCTTTTTTATTTTTTGTATTTTTTACAACTTTTATTGTCTTTTTTTTTGTTTTTTTATAAAGAAATACAAAAGAAAAATAATAAATATTTACAACACATGGCTCAATTCTAAAGATTATTTCTAACCAAAAATCATCCCTCAAGCAAATGTCACAAGTCAAGCAATGGTGCTCCATTAATGAATCAACCAACTCAAATCATCCCTCAAGCAAATGTCACAAGTCAAACTGTTTTCTCAACTCTCACAACTCACCAAAAATGAAAACCTTAAACTCGGGAATTTTTCTCAACTAAATGTGTTAACAACCATCTTACCACAATTTTTGGCATGTGCTCAAAAATAACTCTGGAAATCATTTCTTGGTAATTAAGATAGCAAAAACTGACTCAAACTGAACATTTTGAAATCATACCCAGATAATTTCGCAAAAATTTTGACCCAAAATAACAACAAGACAAAAATTAATCTCACGCATGAATATGCTCACCACCCCTGACCCAAAATCAGACAGTGTCCTCAATGTCTAAAAATATATGTAATATGAAGAAGACCGAGAAAGAGAATACCTGGATGATGAACATTGAAACAAAGCCAAGCCTCCTGAATTGATTCGCCAAAACACAAACAAATATAAATTCACACAAAAACAAACTGAAAATAAAAGCACACAACACACAATAAATGAAACAAAGAAACAAAAATATGATACAAAAGTGCTGGAAGCAAACTCCTCAAGATTGGTAAACCGGAGCCTCAAGAATGATCTCTTCAGCCTGGCTCACATGCTCAATGTAGTGCTTCAGTCTCTGGCCATTGACTCTGAATACTCTCCTACCGCTCGGGTCCTCGACCTCGACAGTACCATTGGGAAAAACTTATTTCACTACAAATGGACTAGTCTACCTCGACCTCAACTTACCTGGGTGGAGATGCAGATGGGAGTCATAGAGATGCACCTTCTGGAATGTGGTTGGTGCATTACACAACCCAGATGTAGACGGGAGTCATAGAGATGCACCTTCTGGGCGCGCGCTGGCCGCGCGCTAGTGCGCACTGGGCGTACGCCGTGGCCGTGCGCTGTTGCACGCTGAGGCACGCCGTGGCTGCGCGCTGGGGCGCGCCCTGGCCTTCTTTCTGGGCGATTTTTGGAAAAATTTCTGGGCAGACTTAGGGCTGTTTCTGGGCATCTTCAAAGCTTCAAACTTGATCTTCCATGCCTCTTTTTGATTTAAAATCAAAACCCTAATTCTACCCAAAACCTAGAATTACAATAATTCTAATCCCGAATTAAATTACAAATAATTTATTTTGAACGAATTTAATGCGATCCAT